TTTTGATGTAATTCTATTTTTAGTCCACACGCCCCTTGTGGAAATCAGCTAAAAGTTGTCGGGGCAAGCGTGTGTTTTTCTTAAAAATAAAGTTGACCTACCACTTAAAATTCAAGGACTATTCAAGGAGTATACAAGGACCCAAAAATGAGTTTTCAAGGAGTTTCGCTAAAATCATAAAATTCAAGAGCTTTACAAGTGCCCTTGAAAACATGAATTAAATTCAAGGAGTTTTCAAGGAGTTTAAGGAGTAGCACGAACCCTGAATGTACTACTTCAACCATGTGACCATCTTGAATCACAAGCCATTATGGGTTATCCAGGGGGCAGAGACCCCTTGCAGTATGTCAGAATGCAGTTCAATAGGCCTCTTCAGCTCTGATGTAATGTTTTCCCATTTCAGACCACGTGTCATTCCCTAGAGTATCATTTCTTTGTTTAAGGATTGTGCTCGGTTGCACATGAGAAGGCACATGAATATGGATACAGCTCAAACAAAGAATCTTATTCTCAAGTGAATGACAAATGGTCTGAAATGGGAAAAAATTACCCCAAGACAAAGAGGTCTATTTGGAGGGCAAAACAATAGGTTTCCAATTCTCAGGAGATTGAAATTTTTTTTGTCACTCCAAATTCATCTCCTTTGACTTCACGTGCAAGGGGTCTATAAACAAAATTTTGTTACAATAATGATGTAGATTGACATTCACAGTTCATAACAAAACAATTTGACAGAGATGAATTTAAAAAAATGGACAGTTCCACAAATGAGGAAATTTCTCAAATATCGTGGGGATCATCATTTCAGCATCTTTGTTTTGTCCCCCAGGATGCCCCATAATGCCTTGCAATTCAAGATGGCCGCCACTTTATTGAAGTAGTTCATTGGTCTGAAAGTATTTTTCTCGCATACTGTACCTCGTGAGTTCCATGGGAGAAGTTCAATCTTGCAACATTCATTCCACTCTCAATCAGCTGTACAATTGTATCCACTGATCTTGAAGCAGGTCCTAAAACACGGTACACACAAGGCATATAAGATAATTTACAAGAATTTAGAAAACCAGAGTACACACAAGGTTTTTTTTGCGTACATAGGTGGGTAGCATGGTGGCAGTTTCCTCCCCGTTTTCTCCCTCCATAAAAATCAAAATCTGAGTTAAGGTATTAGGATACGAAAAATGACGAATTGCTCGGAAAAAAAAATTTTTTTTAATTTCGTAATTTCAAACTTTTATCTTTCATATGTTTGTGAAACTTCTTGCAATTTTTGATTGGAAAAGCCAAAATTTTGAGAAAAATCGAAATCGTGACTTTATCAAGACTGGAAATGTACCGTCGCTTAATATATGCACATCTGTCATGCTCCTTTGTCATTGTAAAAAGATCCTACATTGCGATCGTCCAGAACACCAGATAATTTGACAAGTGATGACAAAATGGAAGCTCAAGGTGTTTTGGCCAACACCATCGTGGCTCCCTGCAGCTTCCGGCTCCAAACAAAGAAATGTGTTTTTCTCGAATATTTTTTGCCGCTAAAACCTCAACTTCAAAAAGCTAAAAGTCCCTTGGATTTCATTCGATTTTTTTTAAATTTGGAGAGTTTAAAAATTAACTCATGATCCAAAAAAGCGTGTCTCCGAATTTTGAAATTTAATTTCTTTCCAAAGTTATGAC